AGATCCTTATTCTTAAAACAGATAATTTTAACTATTAAAATATAATATATCTACCTCGTTAAATTATATAGTGTTATGACATTTTAAAATAATTGTAGTTACTTGATCAAAAGATGTTTATTATTAAATTTATTTTAAGCTTTATTTTTAGTATCTCTTAAAATAGTCAGTAAAAAGTTATTGTTTTTGAGAAATTATACTATATAAGTAAAATAAAATTTATATATTTACTGTAATTGTAAGATATTATAGTCAAATAAATATACTAAAAAAATAATTTCAATAATACTAATTATTAAAAAATGTCAATTAAACATATATCAGTTTATGTTAGGTGATTATTTTATGTAATCATCTAATAAAATAGATAGATATATACAAAAATCATTATTTTGAAAATATACATATTTTATCGGTTAAAATTATTGTTTTTAAAGAAAAAATATTTCTTTTTCTAATAGTAATATTTTTTGTGTGAAATTTTTTTATGAAATCACACTATATACAGATATTCTTTTTTTATATCTAAAAAGATATAAATATAAAGTATTTTATTACTTCAAAGGTATATTTTATGTTATTTAAAATATATTTAAATTAAATATTACTATTTTGTCAACTTTCCTTTTTTTATTAAATCATATTATATATACTTATATTTACGTTTTTAAATAGTTTTGTAAATTTTCTAAATGTTTCCTTTTTATTTTATATTGTTATTTGGAAATTTTTAAAAAGGAAATAATATTTAATTGTATTTTTAATTCATTAAGGGTATCATAGTAATCAACCATCGTGAGAGTTAACGTGAGCGCGACACCTAAGAAAGTGACTTCTCAAATAATATTATAGAGATATAACATAGTTAAAATTTAAACTGCATTTGATATTTATAAATTTTGGTTCGTATTCAGTTCAAATAAGTGTAGATTTAACTCGGCATCCATTTAAATTATGTAATAACAATTTTGAAAATTAATCAAAATATCAGAATATCCTCACAATTCAAAATTGAATAATGTATAACATAGAAATTTGAATACAGTATGATCAAATATCTAAATTAACATAAAATTAGTTTGTTTTGGATATTTAGGTAGAGAACTGGTAGCTAGATATTTCTAGTTTTTTGAGTTTTTTTTTTGCTGAGTATTTTTGTGTATTTTTCTATTTAATGGACATAAAATTTAAAATAATTAACATATTTAAAATATTATGAATATGATTTGTAAATTTTCAGATACTCGAAATATTTTGGTTTGATTGTTGTTTGTTTAAGTTCCTGAATTTTTAATTTTTTTTGTTCCATTTAGATATGTTACCAATTTTGATTTGGATTCTGTATTATCTTTTCGATTTGGTTCAATTCGGATGATTCTTCTAATCCGCATCTTTTGCCGAGCCATATGTCTTATAGCCTTAGGTCATGTAGTGATTTCAAATATTTTACATATATTTTAACTACACGACTTTGTGCAAAAAGAATTTTTTTTACAAGATAAATGTTATATTGGTAACAAAAATGCAAGCGTTTGTAATGATCATAGTCAAAATTCACACTGTTTTTCTGATATAAATAAATTAAATGCAAAAGAAAACTTCCCGTCATTTACAAACTCTGATGCTCTTCTTGTTCGCTGCTCTTCTTCTTCTCTCTTATATTCATCTATTTCATCATTAATTAAATCTAAAAAGAAGCAAAAATAAACCCATCTTGACAGTAATTTCTTTCTCCATAGCTAAACCCTCTATAGATCATATTACAACTTTGTTCAAAAAAAAAAAAAAAAAAAGATCATATTACAACTTTTTCTTATTATTCAAACCCACTAAAACTCTTTGCAGATTTCAAGGCATTCCCCCAATCTTTTTGTATATAAATCAAATCGTAGACCTGAAACCATCTTGTACCAGAAGTCGATGAGATGTAGCCAGAAACGCTTCCAGGGCGAGGGATATTCCCATGCTGCGAGGGATCAAGTCCTAAACAATCTTCCATTAATCTGAAATCAAACAACAGTCGAATTAAAGCAGAAAATATATGTTCTTCATGTTGTGTGAAGAGAAATTAGAAAACTTAGTCGAATTAAAATGTAAAACTTATCTTCTAAGATAAAGAAGAAATCAGCCATGGAATGAGCGATTTCCTAAATTCTGGGTGAGTATTTCTCAAATCATCCAAGAAAAAAGATCAGCCATTAAAGAGCGTTGTTAAAATCGTTTTATTTGGTTAGGTGTAGCCGAATAAACTTGAGAAAATCTGTCAAATTATAATTAGGATGATTTAGTAATGATTTATATATAATATTTAAGGTCAATGGCATGAGATGGTAATTATTTAGGATAATTTAGGGTTAAGTACTAAATGTACTTCAGTTTTAATAGATTAGATTTTTTATTCTCTTTCCTCTTTTCTTCTATGTTTTATCTACAACTGTTCGACACATAGTATTACTCGTTCAACTAATCCAACTCGAATTAGTACAACTAAAATGAATATATCTAGTATAAATAGATTGAGTATAACTGGTAAAAATAAAATGTGTGTAATATGTTTCTAACTAGCACAACTTGCAATTAATATGGTAGAAAAGTGAATGATTTAGAACCAAAAGGATATGTTGGTTTAATTTTTCCTCACATGCATATGTTTTTTTTTTTTTTTTTGACAACGAAAGGCTCATCTCTTACTCAAGCTTGAGTTGGTCTGGGGATCCAGACCGGAATAGAACAACCAACAAACAACAGATCACGATAGAAGGATCGAGCAGTATTAGCTAAATGATCGGACACAACATTTTGAGACCTGGGTACATAAATGATCTTAAACTCTAGAAAACATATCCTCAATGTCATTATCCTCTCCAGTTCCGTCGAAAAGCTTGGCCATCCATGGGGGTTCGTGAGCATTGCTATCAATTCCTTGCAATCCATCCCGAAGCTCTAACATGGCGAATGTTGAAGCATATTCTCCATTGCCCACCGCAGTGCTTCCAGCTCCGAATGCAAAGCCGACTCCACCCTACTAACATTTCGCAAACCCATCAGCTGACTATTTCCCCTGCTATCCTTCCAATCCCAGCCACAACCTGAGAATTGATCTGTAGAGGTCCAAGAACCATCTATCATGATAATATCTCGTAGGCTTATGACCTGACGTTCGACATCTCCGCTTTCTTGTGATGACTCAGTTTCCTGCTCATTGGCTTGAAACCAGGCAAGACAGTCACTCTCCGCATACAGGGATAGTTCGAGAGGGTCTGTATCAATACCTCCGAACAACTTATTGTTCTGAGCCTTCCAAATGTACCATATTAGCCAAGGATAAGGATCCATGTCTAAGTCTGGTCCACTTATAGCCTTCTTCCTCCAGAATAGATCATCCATATTCGCATATGTGCTTTCCAGAGGGAATAAAGTTGGGCTGGTGGGTATAGATGCTAAGGCCCACACCTGTAATGCCGGTGGGCATTGAAAGATTGCATGTGCGATTGTTTCATCCGTTTCTCCGCATCGTGGGCAAAAGTTATCGCATCTCATGTGTCTATGATTCAAAGCACTCGTAACAGCCACATGACCTGTTATAATCTGCCACATAAGGTGACACATCTTCTGGGGTGCTTTAACCTTCCATACTTGTGCTTGGAGTCTTGTAATTCTAGGTTCTCCCACTATATTATCCTCCTCCTTCATCAATACATTTCGATCGACCCAATAGCCGGACTTGACTGTGTACTGCCCACTCCTTGTGTAACTCCAGCAGTGCATGTCTCTACAATTTGTGGAGCTAGTAGCCATACTCCTTATGAGA